AAAATTGCCGATAGTACTATCGATATTATCGATGCTAATAAAATAAACTATCGCACAATCGATAGTGACCACTATCGATAGTTTTCCACCTCTAATACCTATATAAAATAAAATATTTAAAAAAATATTTGTTTACAAATACTTTTTATAACAACAACGAAGATATAAAATATAAAAAAGTAACTACTGTTTAATAAATATTCATATTTTGTCTTGCTACGGAATATTTACATCTTCATTAATATTTTTATTTTTCGAAATTGTTCTAATATAGTAGATTCACTTTTAAAAGTACAATATTAAATGTCGTATTTCATTTATTAATCGAAGGAATTTACATATTGCAGTGCTATCAAGTTCAAAAAAGCAATTAGAAAATTCACTTGGTCGGAAAATAGAGAGTTTAGAAACTGCTATCAACAAACTCACAAGCGAAATTTCTATTTTAAATAAAACTTTAAAAGATAGAAACAAGAGTGTCAATTAACATTGTTTCGGATGAGAAACCATTCAGTCTTGATCCTCATACAAATAATTACTACCTAGAATATTCTGTCGACGAAGACCCTAATTCTACAAACATAAATTTTCCGTCTGATACAAATGGAAATGACTTCAAAATGGAAATGGCAATTATCACTGATCAAGTGCCAACAGAAAAGAATAAAAAACAAGAAAAAAATAATTCTAAGCAACTGCTGAGTACAGAAGAAACAAATATCAGTGTTCAAGAAGATGGGCCCAAGAAGATTACATTACCAATAAAAATTGGAATAGACGAAAGTACAGAATTGAAATGCAAAACCGATTCCAAATCCTCATCAGTACAATTGAGTAGTTCTGTACGATGTTTAGCATTTATTAATTTATTTATTTTAAAAGCAATATTTAATTTTATTTTTTACATGATATCATCCTTTTTTTGAAGAAACTAAATCAAACCGTCGTTAATATTGGTGGCGTTGAAGTTCCACATGAAAAATTAGCTCAATGTTCACGGAAATCATCATTAACCAAATTCGTAAAGGACGTGATGCTCCTTATTTTTACTGAACAAGAGATGGCTAATTGTTCGCTGACAGGCACTACACCGAATTTACATGTAAATCATAAAGATAATGTGCTTCAAAAACAGAAGTTGGATCCAATTCGATGCAAAGCTCTACATGGTAAATTTTGCTTATATTTTTATTTACTACTTCTGTTTTACAATAATGTAGTATACATATGTATTTCGAAAATCTACTACATCTCTCTTTTTCATTTTTAGAATATGTAGCAAAAGAAATGCCATCGAGATATGAGGAAAAACTCGTGCAGGAAGCTATAAAACAAAAACTACATTATATAAGTAAAAGAGTTCACGGAGTAGCGTTTAAAAAGGAGGCTAAATAAAACATAAGAAGATATATGGGTTATTACACTATACATAAAATATATTAGATTATACATGAATAAATACTATTTTACATACAGTAACCTTATATGATCATATATAATATAACATTTCTCATTCTAATAAATTAATATGTTTATATTTCAGGGTGTATTTATTTGTAAAAAAGAATATTCTGACTTTATCATTACAGACGCCATTGAAAACGCCACTCTTTTATATTCCAATGGTGCTTTCAATAGCGTTTTGCCAATGGTAATATTTTACTATTGAGGATTTTACTAATAGTAAAATCTCCAATAGTAAAATATTTTTACTAGTGGTAAAATCCCCAGTGATAAAATAGTGCTATTGGCAAAAACTCATTCAGTTTATCATTGAAAATACCATTGAAAACGCCACTCATTTTTAATGGTTTTTTTCAATGGTATCTTAATAGTAAAATCATCTCTTTTTTCGCGACGGGAGAGTAGACACGGGTATTGGTGTGTTAAAATTCTTAAATTCTTTGTGTTACAATATCCACCAAACTCGATCTGCATGCTGCTCGGTTTGTCGGCCTTAAAACACAGATTTTTTGCGTGAAATCGGAAACTTGTAACTTATTATTAAATTGACAAACAATTTAATATCTTCCGATGCTATTATGCATCTATAAATTCCCCTCCCCCCAAGCCTGTAAAGAAATTATTGCGAAAAATTACAGGCTTGGGGGGAAGGGAATTTATAAATGCATAATAGCATCGAAAGATATTGAATTGTTTGTCAAATTAATTATAAGTTACAAGTTTCCGACTTCACGCAAAAGAACTGTGTTTCAAGGCCGACAAACCGAGCGACGCGCATATCGAGTGTGGTGATTATTGTAACATGAAAAATTTTAACACACACACCAACACCCGTGTTGGCTTTTATAGGCTGTTTTCACTATATAGAAATATTTTGTTAGTGTACTTACCACAGTTCAGACTTCGGTATTTGTTTTTCCTCACTTCA